CAAAAGTATCTGTTTCTGAGCCTAAACCTCTGGTAGATCAGCACAATCGAAACTATCTGCTCTTAGCATTTACTTCCACAAGGAAACCAACTTTTCCACGCAATTAACCAAATTTGTAATTTGATACATGTGTTAGAAGGCATCTATTTGCAGAAATTTTAACCATGGTTTATTAGAATATTCAGGACGTTTAGTTAAACATCTTCGGGTCATCACCCATCAGTCTTTTTTCCGTCATCTAAAGTTCTAAAGGATTATTAAACAAATAAGTCAACCTACAAATTCATCCTTCATATCTTCTTATTAGAGATATGTATCTAATATTGATGGAGAAAACTATGAACTTGTTAATGCAGTACCAAGTATTATTTATTTGGACACATGAATATTGACACAAAGGGGCACTGAATACATATGCTCCATATGTGTGGGCCATGATACTGCTTGGGTGCCCAAACTGAAGCAGTTGGTTTTCTTAGGGGCCACACCCAGAGCCTTCGACCTAAAGGTCTGATCCACAAGGCAGTGGAGCAACGTAAGGGGATGCAGTCACGTGGTAGCCATTAACCAACGATTGGTTCATACACCTTTTGTCTTGGAGCCCATGTGCACCATTGATTTGGAATCAGGGCTTTCTAACTCCCCTATGTGGATTCTCCATATCCACCAACCCTAGTTGAAGCACCGAACATTCGCTTTTCATCCTCTCGATTTCGTAAACAACACCCCCGAGAAGGCAATGAGTAGGACTTATGTGGTACTGGTTGTATGTACGTGGCCGCGTGAGAGCTTTTCGAGAGGGAGAGCGGACTCTCTCCACTCTCGCCCGTACCAGGGAATTTGGGGACCTTACGTGCGTCTGGTTTTTAGTGGGATATTGGCAGTCAAATCAGACATGGGAGCAGGTAAGTTTTGTAAAATTCCACGCCCGACCGTAGCCCCTACCTTAATGTGGTGGTCGGGCCTGCCCATCGTGATAACTCAACCGAGCTATATTGGCTGGAACACATGTTCCATTAGGCCTTGCTATGCCAAGCAGGTGGAATGGAGAACGGTAAAACAAAACAACTCATGGTCTGAGGGAGAAGTCGTACTACTGACTGTAGAGGGATATGGCAGCAGCAAGGTGTTTCACTCGTACAACCATCATCTGTAGCTATGCTTCCTTCTCATAACGGAAGGGGGGTTAGAAAAGGCCGACCTTAGAAATGTCACTTCACCTTAACCGACAGGTTTCCGTCTCTGGCCGTAAGGCACTTTAAAGTGCTCGGTTAAAACCAAGGCCGTGAGCGGCCGACCTCAAGGAGTTGCCCCTTAGGCTCTGCGGTCATGCTCTCAGGTCGTTGAGGATACCATTAATTTAGCTTCGTTTTCATATCCCTCAAGAAAAGATATCATTCCATGGTATGGGAGGTGGAAAAGTGACAACTGCTTTCATACCTCTAACAGCATTCATGATCATTTTGTCCGCAATCAAATCCTTCCCTCACCTCCCAGTAGTTCTCTCTTTCACACAACTAACTCTCATCACATATCTTTATCATCACGCGCCACCAATGCTAATGGTTTGTGTTCACGAGATGTCATTCCTGGTCTTTTGAAACCATGCCTTAATGTCAGGTCTTTTGATGTTCAAACCTTGTATCACATAGGATAACAGTCTTCTTTAGCTATGACTCTAGGATCTCGCGCCATCGATATATGCTGCATCTCCGAAACACTCAAACAGGATCCAAGTACACTCGTTCATTTAACCTCACCTTGTCAATATAAGGAAACTTCATGACTTACCGTTCGAGTATCTGGAGGCCCTACTGTTACTTCCTCTGACCTCACTGGTGTAGGCATAGGATTAAGTTTAAAAACAGAACAGGCCCTGGCAGATTGGATTCCAATAGACAGTCTCTTGTTCGCTGTCCGACGAGACGCGACAGTAAGAACTCGAAAAGATAGGAACATACGTCGTTGCCTCTTCATTGTTTCTGCCTACTTTCCCACTAATTTGGGCTCGGATAAAGTTAAAGGTGTTTGTGGGAAGCTACTCAACCTGTTTCAAAAAGCTAGACGCTCTGATGTAGTATTTGTGGTGGGTGATTTTGATACTCAAGTAGGTGGACTGAACCAAACCAAAAGGCAGGCGGATCTTACAGTGTCGCGGCTCAGCGAACATTTAATGGAGACCGTCTATTGCAGCTATGCTCAGACAGCCGTCCATTTCTAGAAAGCACTGACTCTAAGCTTAGGAGAAAGCATCGTCCGACGTGGCTGAGATTTTCATTCACTCCTTAGATTTTAAATTGTGGTAGTCCAGTTTTAGCAGTTAGATTAAATAGGATCTTAGCTAAAATCCAGGAACTGGACGTGATCCCATATAACTGGTCTTGATCGTTGATCGTCTCAGTCTTTAAGAAAGGACGAAAATCCTCTTGTGACAACCACAGTGGAATCAGTTTAACTAATTTAGTGTCTGAAATATTAATCTTAATAATACTTCGACGTCCAACTAGTGCTTGTGAAGAGAAAACCCCAGAAAACTAGTCCGGTTTCAGACTTGGACGTAGATGTATAGACCAAGCATTCACCTTTCGGCAGATTTTGATTTACAGATATACTTTTCGACATCCGACTATAGTTGTTTTCCTTGACCTTAAGGGAGCGTTCGACTGTTGATCGTGAGGTTCTATTAGTGTCTGTTATTGAAATGGGTACCAAAGAATTACTTTGACCTCGTACAGTCTCTGCACTCGGATATTACTGGTCGAGTCAGTGCTTATGGCGAACTGTCATCAGAATTAGTTAGTTCAAGTGATGTTTGTTGAAGTTGTTTTTTTTTTCTCGTTTTTATTTAATTTTGTCCTTTGACATTTTAAAATGTATGTCTTAACTAAATGCATACTATTTTTCAAAATTTAAATATAGTATGTCTGGTATATAGTTTTATGAAGCAGTTGGATTACCGAAATAAATGGTACTATCTGATCATCTAAAATGCTAGTTAAAATTTGTAAACTGATCCCCTAAAGTCTTGAGTGCTGTTAGAAGTATGAGGGCAGTTATCACTTCCCGGTTGCCCACACCGTGGAAGGGTTCTTCTAGAGGTACCTGAAAAGGAAATTGGATTAGAAGTGGTCTTAATGACCTGATAGCGTGACCGCAGTGCCCAAGGGACAACTACTCGAAACCAGTCACACACGACCGTTCTCTAGGTAGTTTTCGTGTTAGCTCCGCACTTGTTGGGACCTTACCGCCGGAGACGGATATCCGTGGGATAAGGCGAGGTGTGCATTTTTAGGGTCAACCTTTTCTAACCCCACCCCTCCTTGTCGGAAATCAGCATCGCCGTCATGCTGGTTGTCTGAAGGAAACACCTTACTGCTTTCACACCTCTGTACAGTCAGCAGTACGACTTCGCCTTCGGACCTTGGGATTGCTGCTTTTAGTCTCACCGCTCTTCAACCGACCTGTCTGGCAGGATAGGACCTTGAGGAACGATTGTTCCAGCTAGTATGGCTCGATTGGTTCATCACGGTAGGCAAGCCTGACCACTACGTCAAGGTAGCAGCAACGGTCGGGGATCCCCTAAAGTCGGTCTTCATAGTATCTGTAAACTTACGACTACGTCCTGTGTCTATTTAGATTCACCTCTAATGAAAACGTTAAAAATATAAAGCATCCTGATTACGTTTAGCGAAAGTTACAAAGAAGAGTTAATATGTCTAATGAAAAATTGATTATACGGGGTGGTTCTGTTAGAACATGTAAACAATAACTAATGGAAATAGTGTGGTTGGTAAATATACACAGCGCAGAAAGATCTTTCCAAAAAATCAGAACAAGATTTGTATTCAATGAAAATATTCTGTTATTTCATGTTGTAAATCCCTAAATTGTTCAGAAATAACAAATCTAAAATTTTCATAGTTGAAATCATAAGTCAATTGAAGCTAGACCACCATGGAAAACTTCGAAGCACTGTTGTAGAGATATCAATTCATTGAAGACAATTGGTAAACGGTTGCTCAAACTTCGTGGATCGGTTGAAGTTAGACATTAACACCGTTGGATGCCGGCGAACTCAGTGGTCTATCGGTTAAGTGCGCTTGGCGCGAGACTGGTAGGTCCTGGGTTCGAATCTCGCGAGTGCGGGATCATGGATGCGCACTGCTGAGGAGTCCCATTTATTTATTTAAACACATAAATATTGGTACAAGGAAGCACCAGATATATATGCGCCGCACAAATCTCATTCGATTTGTGGGAGGGCTGAGATACTGCCCAGATGCCCAGACTGAAGCAGTTGGTTTATTAGGGGGCCACATTCGGAGCCTTTGACCTAAAGATCTGGTCCACAAGGCAGTGGAGCTTCGTGAGGAGATGCAGTCCCATGGTAGTCGGTGACCAACGATTGATTCATACACCATTTGTTCCCTCAGGATCACTGGAGTCCATGTGGATGATTGGTTTGGAATGAGGGTTTTCAAACTCCCCTAGGTGAACTCGCCATGTCCACCAACCCGGTTAAAGCGCTGGACATTCGGTTTTCGTCCTCACAATTTCGTAAACAACAGCAATGCCACGAGAAGGCAATGAGTAGGACTTCCCTGTCAGAGGCTATATACACGTAGCCATGTGAGAGCATTTGTAGAGAGAGAGCGAACTCTCTCCACTCTCGACCGTATCAGGGCATTTGGGGGAGTCCCATACTAGAACAAAACGGCCGTCCAGTGCTTCCAGGTTCTCCATGATGGTCTAGCTTCAATTGACTCATGATTTCAACTATGAAAATACCGAACTCTCCATAAAACCTCTTCTGATCTAAAATCTAGAATTGCTGTTAGATCGGTTTTTCTTTTTACAAATAGTTTTACTTGGTTTAAAATGTTGTTTATTCAACTGATTCCTCTTATCCTTATTTTCTTTAATTTTTCATATAAACACAGATCAATTGAAGAAGTTTACTAATCTATCTATCTCTTCAATCATTTTTATTACATTTGAATATGGCTTTAGAAGATTTAATCAGTCCTATAATCTCTAAAGAATGCTTTTATAAGTTTACAAAAGAAGGAGATTTATTTGATGGTAATCTTCCGAAGAAAAAAATAGTCAACTTCATCTACTCTTCTATTTAGGTCCATGTTTGAAAGCAACTATTAGTAAATTATTAGGATATAGTATAATTATTGGCTCATCACTTGGTAAGTCGTTTCCAATTCCTTTTGTAGTTGGTAATTGTAGTTTTTTTTTAATTTTTTTTTTTGAATAGTTAAAATTCCACAAGTTATAAAAATTGCAAAATGTAAAAATGCATTTGGTTTGAGTATATTGTCAATATTGCTGGAGTTGATTTCTTTTACATCTGTAAGCGCTTATTCATATGCTAATGGATTCCCATTCAGGTAAACAAATATAACAATTATTTTGCTTTATATAAAATTCTATTGAATGTGTATTGTTCATATTAATTAACTAGCTCGAACAATGTAGGATTTGATTAGGGGGCCACATCCGGAGCCTTTGATTTAAAAATCTGGTCCACAAGGCAGTGAAGCATCGTGAGGAGATGAAGTCTCATGGTAGCCGGTGACCAACGATTGATTCATACACCATTTGTTCCTTCAGGATGCTGGAGCCCATGTGTACCATTGGTTTAAAATGAGGGTTTTCCAACTCTCCTAGGTGTGGACTTTCCGTGTCCACCAACCTGGTTAAAGCGCTGAACATTCGCTTTTTGTCCTCTCAATTTCGTAAACAACAGTAGTGCCACAAGAAGGCAGTGAGAAGAACTTCCCTGTCAGAGGTTATATATGCGTGGCCATGTGAGAGCATTTCGAGAGGGAGGGTGGCCCCTCTTCACTCTCGGCCGTACCAGGGCATTTTGGGGCTGAAACAAAATACAGGCTACATTAATTTTCACATATTCCCATGTATATTTTCTACAAATCTTACTAAACATTCACTTTCATACAATTTATGAACTATATGAATTGGTTGTTTATTTGTTTTTAGTGCCTATGGAGAAGGAGTTTTTTTAGCTATACAAAATTTCCTTTTGTCTATTATGACAATAACTTGGACATATTCACAAATTAAAGCTGTCTTATTCTCTTGTACTTATATGGCATGTATAGCTGTTCTTTTGTCGCCAACACTTCCATTATCAATATTAATATTATTTCAAACAGTTAATCTTCCAATTATGTTATCATCTAAGGTAGTTGATTGTTTTTAATTAATTAATGGATATATATTCCATTTATGAATCTTTTTTGTCATTCCATAGTAGATCATTTGTATATCATATAAAAGTACTATCAACATTAGTAGAAAAGATTTAATCGAAACGGTTTAATGGTATCAGTCAGTCAGTCAGCTACAACGTAGCACTATGTACATACAGACATCGTCCGAAGTTGCGATACCTCATTAGCACAACGAGATGAACACCGAATTCGTAGAAGTAGTTAATTTAATGATGATAATGTATAAAAGAAAGATTAAATATAAGGATATAGTATATAGTGCAGGAAGAAAGGAATATATGAAGCAATTTAAGGGTTTAAGGAAAGATAAAGATTGTATACACCTACGCCATTGTGATCGATTATGTGCCATGTCACACAGAGTTTCCAACCCTTGGTTACGATATTCACGCGGACCGCAACCAAGTAGTCTGCATCTACCAACATGGCTCAGACTAGAATTTAGGGACTTCAAGTACTGATGCCAAGTTTTGGTTTGGCCGCCCCTAACTCTCTTCCAACCATTGCCAATGCTAGTCAGCATTGCGCGTCGTGGTAGTTGGTGTTCAGGCATACGTAACATGTGGCCCAACTATCTCAGTCAATGAAGATTCACAACCTCATCAACTGATTTACCATCATTCCCCAATACCCTTAGTCTAACCTCACTATTACTTACCCGGTTATCCCAGCAGATGCAAGCAATAATTGTAGGACATCTGTGGTCAAATGCTAGTAACTTACGAATATCTTCTACCCTTAATGGCCACATTTCGCAGCTGTAAAGTAGAACAGAGCGAACTGCTGCGCAGTATACTCGTCCCTTAATTGATAGACGAATATCTCATATTCTCCATAGGTGACTTGAGTTGGCATAAGCCAAACGAGCTTTTTGAATTCGTGCTGAGATTTCGTCAGACACCAACTCATTCGAGCTGACCAGACTTCCAAGATAATTGAAGTTGTCAACGCGTTCGACTACTTCACTCCCTATCCTTAGTTCAGGTGTTGACGCAGGCCAGTCCTGGAGTAACAATTTACATTTAGATGGGGAGAAACGCATTCTAAACACCACCATTCGCTATTTGATATCAATTTTATGCACAATTTTCCTATGACTAAGAATTATTAGGGAAGAAATATTTCTTTCCCTCAACTTGTAGTTTTACGTTGTCATTTAATTGTTGATGATGATCGTCCCTCAACATGACCCAGTTATTTTATCAGTGTGTATGTTGTAATTTATCCTGTTTTAAATTCATCGGCTTAACACACCCGAGACATTGAAGTAACTGCAAACATGCTTCACCTTCTATTCAAGAAGATTTGGGAGGAAGAAAATGTGCCACAGATAGACTGGAAGAAAGGATACTTCATCAAGACACCAATGAAAGGAGATCTGAGCAAATGTGAGAATTACAGAGACATCACACTGTTGTGAGTACCAGGGAAAGTTTTCAATAGATTGTTGCTGAACCGGATGAAAGACGCAGTAGACGCCCGACTTCGATGTCAAACGGCTGGATTCCGTAAAGATCGGTCGTGCACAGACCAAATTACGGCACTACGGATCATGGTCGAACAATCAGTTGAGTGGAACTCGTCACTATACATCAACTTCATTGACTATGAGAAGGTGTTTGATAGTATGGACAGGAGAACATTATGGAAACCTCTTCGACACTATGGAGTTGCTCAAAAGATTGTCAACATGATCCAGAACTCATACGACGAACTACAGTGCATGGAGGACAGTTGACATATGCATTTCCAGTAAGGACCGGAGTCAGACAAGGTTGTCTAATCTCCCCATTCCTCTTCCTTCTGGTGATTAACTGGATTATGAAGACTTCGACATACGAGGGGAAGCACGGAATACAATGGACAACTCAGAGTCAATTAGACGATTTGGACTTCACAGATGATCTAGCCCTCCTATCCCATACACACGAACAAATAGAGACGAAGATAACAAATGTAACAGCAGCCTCTGCATCAATAACCCTTAACATATCACAAAGGAAAAAGCAATATTCTCAAATACAACAACGAGAACACCAGCCCAATAACACACTTGATGGCGAAACTCTGAAAGAGGTGGAAACATTCACATACCTGGCAAGCATCATTGATGAACAAGGAGGATCGGATGCAGATGTAAAGGCGAGGATCAGCAAAGCAAGGACCACATTCCTACAATTGAACAACATATGGAACTCAACACAACTGTTAACTAATTTGAAAGTGAGAATCTTCAATACGAACGTCAAGACAGTCCTACTGTACAGAGCTGAAACGTGGAGAACCATTACATCCATCGTCAAGAAGGTACAAGTATTTATAAGCAGTTGTCTTCGAAAAATACTCAACATTCACTGGCCGGATACTATCAGCAACAGCGTTTTATGGGAGAGGACAAACCAGCTTCCAGCAGAAGAGGAAATTAGGAAAAGACGTTGGAAGTGGATGGGACATACATTAAGGAAATCACCAATTTGCATTACAAGGCGATCCCTAACTTGGAATGCGGAAGGGAAACGGAAAAGAGGAAGGTCAAAGAACACACTACGCCGGGAAATAGAAGCAGATATGAAAAGGATGGATCGCAACTGGAAAGAATTACTCAAGACAGGGTGTGATGGAAAGTGCTGGTGAGCGGCCTATGCTCCTCCACGACTGTCGGTCATAGGCGTAAGTAAGTATGTTTTGGGATATGCTTTCCCGCCTTTTTGTCTTGTCAATACGAATCTAAACAGTTGTTCGACTCTCTATAATTTTCTGTTTCTTTTCTTCTAGTTTGCTCAAATCTGGACAAATTATAATAATGGAAGTACTGGACAATTATCAGCTATTACATTATTCCTATTTGCTTTAGGTTCAACTGTACGTATATTTACATCAGTTCAAGAAACTGGTGATTATCTAATGATTTTATCATGTATTCTAGCTAGTCTATGTAATTATATATTAGTAGGTCAATTATTTTATTATTGGAATGTATCATCTGTTTCCACAACAACAACTAAACCACCACCACCACCACCACAACAACAACAAGAACAGTATCCAACACGTAAAGTTAAAGTGAATTAATTCTATATTCTTCTAATTGTTACTATCTATCGTTATCTTTTTGTATATGGATTCGTAAGATAGACGGATTATTCCATGTATGTTTTTTTTGTTTTTTTTTTGAACTTGTATTTTATCCTTTTTTATACCAGTTCCATTACTTGTTCAATTGGTAACTCATTTTGTTTCTTTCACCTTAGTTACAATGACTGAATTTATGATCAATATACAATTGAGTTTTCATAATGAGATGATAATCTTATTGATATTTCTTTGAAAAAAGCTTAGACCAGATTACCAGGCAAAACGTTGGATTTACTTCAAATTCAAATATATTCTTCTTATTTAATGTCTTAGATCATCTCGGCGCCCAAATACTGTGGGACTGTCCGCTCTAATTTAGACGAAAGTTCTTATAAGATGGTGGTTGGAGGTGGTCAACAGGAAACCCTGGACACGGGTTTCGTGCTATTTGACACTCGTCAGCAAGGTGTACCTGTAATCTTGAGGAAACTGGTGCTCCCTGACGGATTCGATCCCATGTCACTCAGATTCACAATCAGAGATGTTACCACTGAGCTATTCGGGCTGCAACCGACCTTGTAGGACTGAGATGTAATCATAATTGATTAATTACTGGGTGGTGATCAATGTCATGCGTGTCAATTCCTTCTTAGTGCTGATCGAATGCTATCTTATTATTAGTGTTTTAAGGATTTGTAATTTTCAGTTAGCATTCAGGACTGTCAGTGATCATTCTTTTTCAACTTTATAGCTTTATGAATATGACATGTGTTATGACTTTATAAAAGAAGACTGTACGCCAATTCGTTATTGGTTTTATGTCCGACTTTTTATCACGTGAAGTATCCACCAATCGAAATAAGACTTTTCCAATCTTAACACTGTGTTAAGCAATGACGTTTAACTAGTATGAGCAGTCTAGAGTCCTTATTGTTCCCCTTGTCCGCCTAGCCCTTCCAATTTAGTCCAGAACACCAATTACACTTTCTGTTATCCTAATCATTTATTTCTAGCATACTCGGTTTATATAGTAGACAGACAGACAGACCGTATCACACCATAAAATAGAAAATAATATTTGTACAAGATCAAGCCAAATGTGGCTGTGAACGTGGGAGACAATAATTTCGGGACAGTAATTCGTATAATAATAATAATCCATAGATCGAAATGAAGCTTATAATAAGATGAATATAGATATACATAATCCAGTTACTCAATAAGAATATATATAGAATAGTCGTCCATTCATAGATCCTAGGAGTTACCCGTACTCAATGTCTTCACTAGGATATAACATTGTTGAATGTGTATGGTGAATTTCATCTATTGATTTAAGCGGTGAATTAGAATCCTTGAGGATAACCTTCAATCAGATTATAAAACTGTTTATAAAGAGTCCTATGTACATAACAGATGGCTTTATTTCATTAGATAATAGAAAACAATATAGAAAAGATAAGTTTAGATCACTGACTTAGTTGAAGTACTTTGAGGTGTGTACTCAAAACTGTTGGGGTGATCCTGAAAATTCTTTGCAAAAGACATGACAAGCTGAGGAAACATTAATAATCACTTTTATCCAATCAGCGTTTGATTAGAAGTTGTGCCAGAAACATCATCAAAGTGAAAAGTTGCATGTAGAGGTTCTGATTGACTGGTTACTACATTGTTACTATGTTTAGCAGTATTCTAGAATTTTCAGGAAAACCCAAGGACTTTGAAAATACTGCATAAACCCTGTTATAACGTATAGATTTTTGGGCCCTTATAATATATATGAACGTGCAATGATACAGTAAATACGTACGAGCAGTCTTGGGTGCTATTCGGTCCTTCCTATCTGCCTAGCCCAGCCCGTTAAGTCCAGAACACAAATAACAGCCTCAGCAATATGAATCATTATTTACAAGCATACTGGGTTATATATACTAACCAAACAGACCACATATATCAAAAATAGAAAAATAACATTTGTACAGTAATTGGCCAATGTGGCTGTAGCTAGGGGGAAAGTAATCAATAATAATAGTTCCAAGGTCAAAATAAAGGTTATGATAAGAGGAACACGGAAACGATTAGGTCACTTATTTAACAACTATCCAATAGGGAATGGGCATATTGTATTTGTCCATAAATGGACCTCAGATTTATGATTCATAATTTGCCAGGGGATATAACAAACCCTATATTTTCTGTACATGAATGAACCTTTGAAGTAAAGTGCTTCTTGCATATTTTGTGCCTTTTCACTCGTGTTGAAGTCGCTGTGTAGTTCAAGCATGGGGGTTACGAGACTAGCTTAGGATCTGAGTATAGCGTTCAATTGGCAAGACTTATCAAAAAACAAACATAACAAGCCGCAATTCCTTGTTACGTTATTTTTTTTTTCTATTCTGTTGTTCAAATGATTCCTCGACTAGCATTATGTCAACAATAAATGTGGTATATTATGCTTATTTACTTTTACAAACTGATTAGAAAAGTTATATTCGGAACAAGTAACTTGTACTTTTTACCGAACTTACCAGATAAGACATTATGATTATACAAACAACAATATTGACTTGTATTTACCATTGGCTTAATTACGTAATAGTAGTCTCAACTCTAAAATAGTGTAATCATACCTCTTGAAGCCGGTCACTCGTGAGGCGGGATCGTGGATGCGCAATGGTGAGGAGTTCCACAATAGGACGAAACGGCCGTCCAATGCTTTCAGGTTTTCCATGGTGGTCTACCTTCGATTGACTCATAATCTCAACTAGTGGGATTACTATGATATCCACAGAAACCCCTTCTGATAAAAACTAAATGCTTTTACCATTGTAAAACAAAATTCTAGTTTAATCCAGAGTAGAAAGAATCATCTACTTAATGACGTGTGAAAAAGACACATGAATATAAGGTAATTATTAGTATAGGATTGTGGGGATTGTTGACTTTCAATTGAGATCATGAACCGATCATTGTCAGAGAACCATTGAAATACTGAAAGTACTGGATGGTCGTTTTATCCTAGTGCGGGGCTCCTTAGCAGTGCGCCTCCACGATCCCGCACTCGCGAGATTCGAATCCTGGACCCACCAGTCTCGTGCCAGTAACTTCAAATCACTTTTTTGTAACATCGATTCCTTCGCCAATTTGTTCATGTAACTCATTGTTCAATGATATTTTGTGTGGATAAAACTATAGTATATCGAGTGCCTTGAGTGATCATTAAAAATAAGATAGCTGAGAAACAAAGATAGATAGCGGCTAGCAGGATGCGTGTTTCGTCCTATTTTGGGACTCGTCAGCTGTATGTACTTGCATCCCAGAGTTGATGTTCACTCTGGGACTCGAACCTAGAACCGTTCGTTCCGAACGCCATCGCGTTATCCACTTAGTTACTGGATATCAAGACTCAGTAGCTTGTAATTCCTGTGACTTAAGGCTGTACCGAGGCAGTCCACACAGTATGCACATATACCAATAAGAGACTGATCAGTTGCAGTCCTAACATCAATGGGAAGATACAAGCAAACAACAATTGAATTTAAGATAGCTGATGTTAAATATTAGCTCAGGTTTAAAATACTATTGTGAATAAGCTGTTAATAAGAAGCACTTGATGATAAAGTCGATATTTTCGGGTTAGGAGCTATGGTTTGAGATCATGACGGTTATAAGGCACTAGGGTTAATGAGCTAACTTAATGTTAGCTTATGGTACTTGAATTTCTTGTCTATGTTGTATTTCGAATTTAGATTTCTTAGTCTATCGCACGATACTTGAGCACTCGAACGCTAGAACCCTCCCAAGTCACAAATTAGAAGACAAGTAGAAGGAATGTTATTCCAAACAGTGTCGATTATGGTACAAAATCGCCAGGTATTTATAGTTTTTAGTAGAAACAAAATCATCATTATAGTTATCCAATCGGCACACTGGGAGTTATCAGCACTGACTAATGGGAAGTTACTCGTAGTCATTCTAGAATATTCTTCTCAAAGCTGGTTGGATGGAATATGTCGGGCTCCTTCTGGGCTTCTTAGAGCTTCCTCAACTTCAACTGTGGACCATCCTCACAGTCTACTTTATCTATATTTAGTTATAATGTGTTAATTACTCGTCAAATAGCTTTTAACCTTCAGTAAGTTCATCATTGACTTACGTTTTAGAGTTCTTTCATATGATCTACATTTTGAATGACTAGTTTGTAATTGGTTAGTTTCGAATGATTGTACTCTATAAGTTGGATAATTTAATCATGAAGCTTTCATTGTCATTTTAAACAACATCATCAGTATATACTTCAGAATGAATCTCTTTATAAGTGAATAACAGTTTGTTCTGTTGAAACGGATTTTAATTTATTATTGTATTAGAGTCCGGAAACTTAAAGTTAGGATCTAAACTTCGAGTCTTCAAAGAAGTGGGAGGTGTTATATCCCGATCAGAATTATAAATGGTAACTTTTGAGATCCGTTCATGGACAAATACGAGCTCCTCAATGCTTACGATATAATCAGTATGGTTTTGTAGAGATTATCAAGTTTTTGATTGAGATCATAAACCAATTGATGTTAGACCACCATTGAAAACTTGGAAGCATTATACGGCCGTTTCATTTTATTGTGGGACCCCTCAGCAGTGCTCATTCACGATTCGGATGGCGGGATTCGAACCCAGGGGCTTCAGTTTCGCGTGCGAACGTTTAACCTCTAGACTACTGAACTGACATCGGAACTGTTATACCCTGACGAGGATTATGAATGGTAACTTTTGACATCCATTTATGGACCAATATGATATGTATATTTCCTATTGTAAAATTGTTAAATAACTAAAGTATCCATACTCGTGTCCCTCTTATTATAAGCTTCATTTTGACCCATAGACTATTGCTATACGATTTACCATTCTTGAGTTATCCTTAGTCTATTAATTACTGTTCCCCCTATTCACAGCCACATTTAGTCAAATCTTGTACAA